CGCAGAAAACAAGTGGTCCACACAAATTTTACATGAATTTGCTTGTTTTACTGCAGGTGTAAATTTAGTTGAAGATTTCTGAAAATGCCTTCATTTAATGCAATCTTGTGCTCCAGTGATACAACTTTCAGCCCATCATCTGAAATGTAGCAATGAAAGCCAAACTTGACATCTCCATGGAAAATCAAAATCAACTTCCATAGACTTCATAACATCTAGGGATGAACTTTACTCCTAAGCTTGGGACATGTGACCATTGAGTGTACCCATCAGCATGACATCTCCCCCCCTTTTCTTCTGACTGATCTAGTTCAAGTCCTCTTCCCCTCACACTCCCTCCTTGAGGGCTGTTCGCCTTCATTGTATGTATGTACCTGCATACACTCACTTGGGGGCCCCTTCTGCAAGGTACAAGTATTTAGCATGCTGCCATGAGTCACGCTCCTCATAAATGGCAAGATGTGGCCAGCACACCTCACGAACAGATGCTCTGCCATTTGACGTGTGCCCGAGACCAGTTCAGCTGCACTTTGAGAGGCCTCTGTGTAACGGATTGCCCGTCTGGCCAGGGATGTGCATCAACGCATCTTCATTGTCATGTTTCCTGCACACCGTAGAGAAAAGAGGGACCTACTGCAATGGTTGTCCCAATCAGGTGTTGGATCCCAAGCCAAAAACAGTAGAGACAACAAATTCCCTTGGATTAAATGTCTGCCGGCTTCTCCCTTCATTAATTTGACTACTGTTTAAAAGCAAGGTGGCTCCCATTTTCAAATACCCGTATTTTCATACTATTCTGTTCCATGTCAAGGAGTCAGAAGGTTCACTGGTAAAGCGTTCCTCCCATTTCAGACTACACGTGCATGTGCCAATGATATCAATGCACAGCATTATTAAGGCATGAGCAGCTAGTTGATTTGCCCATTGCCCTAAAAAAGGAACACATGCTAAGTGGGAAACCTGCATGGTCAGGGGTCCTGAAAAATTGTTGAAGCTTACATGCTCTGTTGTGCATATTAGGACTTCCTGGGGCAAGTATTAAGGAAAAATATTTTGAAATCCCTGCATGTCTGGAAGTTAAAACTCTTTATACAGAGACTGCATGGAATAGACATCCAGTACATAAGCAACTAGTGCTGAAATCAACTGAACTGAAACTGAATGTAGTGAAGTACAGGTTTGTTCTCTAAAGAATACACTTGTCGGGGTTAAAAAAATACTTTTTAAAATAAGTGCCTTTCAGAGCTCTTGTTAAACATTGTCTTTTGGTTTTGCCATACTGGTACCTTTCCTGGTCTCTTAGTCACTTTCCATTGGCTGTGTAGTTGATGGTACGTCACAAATGGTGTAGAATCTTTTCCAGCTGTCGCTGTGTTTTGGAAATTCTGATGCAACTCAAATGTGTCCATCAACAATGACAGTTTCTGCAAACCAACTCAAGCGGAACTTGTTCTTGATATTCGTTTGTCTTTATGTACATGTAGATCTCACACCAACTGGTCTCCCTTCCTTGAGGCTGAATCTCTGGTTCGGACTGTCACAGATTGTCACCACAACCATTCGTACACTACACCAGGGAATAATTTTCCCAGTATCGCATTGCAATTCACGATGTATTTTCAGCGATTTGCTACGCACTTTTTTGATGAATCCCGGTTGCTACGATGCAACCAGAAACATACATCTACATGTTGATGGGTGAATTCATTTAGTACACCTGTACGAGAGAGTGGTTCTCTGATCACTGGCCCTGTAATCTGAATTACTTAGCTGGCTAAGCAAAGAACTTGTCGCAGTGAGGACGACGCATCTGAACATGCGCACTAAAGAATTTATGTCTGTTCGGCTCTATGGTTTGGCTGCGCCGTGATTGCGCATTGTGGAAACTTAAACTCCCAATCATCCTCGTACGTGCGCTGTCTAGTTGTCTTATTGTTAACATTACGTTACTCTCAACTCAATCGCTCAATTCGGACTGGCCTCTGTGTGGATTCATCGTGGTTTTTGACGTGGAATAATTGGAATTATTTGGATGTACATGTAGACTCTGGATTTATTTTTGGATGTTTTTGTCACATTGTAATTGTGTGCTGTAAATTTGCACTGTCATTACATGAAAAAAAATTGTTATACAAGTTGATCGAACTGCTATGCAAAAATTATTTTGTGGCTAGCAGATTGCTATGCAAATATTTTGCTGAAATCTACCCTGTACACACAGTCCCACATGCATGCGATGCACACAAATCGCATGCCACCACTGGAAAATATTTTTAAGTCTGGTCCTGAAGCATTCTACCGTGCACACTGCACTGATTTCCACTGGATACTCAACTCCACTGTGTATCAGACTTTATCCTCCATTGTCGTAAATATATTTGCCAGAAGTCTTACTGCACATCAAATTTATCATGCATTATGGATTGTGAATTAGCATATTCTACTTTTTATTTTCTCACCGGATTTACATGATTCATTCACGCCATTTCTTGGTGAATGTCTAAACAATAAGGTCTACGTTTGAGACAAGTTGCACAGTTTCAAAGAGTGTTGTCTGTAGCAGAGATATAATTTATTTACTTTGAATTGCTCGGCTGTCAATCAATGCCCAGATTATTTCCAGATCAGAAATGTTTTACCTTTTCTTTACCTTAAATTTGGTTATATCATGTTTGAAGTGAATTAATCACAAGCTGCTCAATTCTTTTTGATTCACAAATCACTAAAGAGCTAACTTTGATACAATTAACACAATAAGATGTGCCACTTGGGATTTCACTTCTTGTCACAGCTTTAATGCTTTTTTTCACAAGATTCTGCAACATTAGTAACTGAGCTTTTTGTCATGCCAGTGCTAAAAGGCCATTACGAAAAAAATTGCATTTAAAGGTCCTTATTGGAAAATATTGGTACTTGTTTAAACACAAAATCGAGCAACAAAATTTGTTGAAATTTAAATATAATGGCCCAAAAAATCAAATTTAATAAACCGAAGTACAACAGATGTAGTCTGTTTCAACACAGTATTTCTTTCCTTCCCTGAGTAAGGCCTTAAGAGTATTTTCAAAAATTACATATTTGCTGTTATGACCTTTTTTTTTTGACTATTTAACTTGTAGGGAGAACAACCTGAACTACAGTTTAGTGCAAGAAAAAACAAATTTCATAAAATGCATAGATTTTTGTGTACTTTCTTCTTGAACTTGATTTTTTTTATGAACAAGGTGGTTGCGCATGCAATGTATGAAATCTTTCTTTCTTCCTCTGTGTATGTCTTCATCCCCCTGCTACTGTGTGTGTGTGAAGAGCTAGAGGGCCGACTGCAGATACGTGTATGTTCCCATAAGTATGTTTCTGTGTATATGTACCGTGCGAATGGAACATAGTCTGGTATCCAGTACTGCTGAATGTTCTAAAATGGCTGGGCAATTTTTTTTGCCCAATGTTGGGTACCAGGTGAATCGGTTAACTATTGGGCAAAATATCAAAACGCTGGGTACAAAAGTGATAGTACAAATAACATTTTCCACAAATGTTGTGTGAAATGAGACAAGTTTGCCCACACAAAATCAAAAGGGGTTGAGTGATCTGTTTGTCCAACAGTTAGGCGATTCACCTGGTACCCAGTGTTGGGCAAAATATTGCAGTGAACCATATCCTTTCTACATACAGTTTTGTTGAGGTGGTGTACAGACCAGACTATTTCAGTGCTTTCAAAATATGCAGGTAATGTACACGTAGGATGCGTACGGTAGTGATCACTGTTTGTTAAGAGCACACCTGCCAACTTGGCCATAAAATGTTTTTTTTTCAGAGCGCACAATGGCCAGTGCATTGGAGCATCAAAGCAATGGCCGCCCAGGACTGCCATGAAGGTTGATGCCTGAAAAATACAGAGCTTCTAAAATGATCAGGCACCGTAATCATACACAGTCTTTAAATTACAAAGTGGGACTCAACAAATGCTGATCCTTAGACGTCATATGTTCAAGATTTGTGCAACATCTTTTTGAAACTCTAAGACAATGTCGTGGAACAATATTTACTTCACTGCCCGGCTCTGGCCCCCAAGCTGCTTCAGGTTCCACATACACTCAACAGCCATGGACACTGAACATTCATCTTCTTATATACATGTCCATGGATATCCTGAACTCAACATAACACTGGCTGTATTTGCATTAAATGTTTTCTTGACTAGTAACTTCATTTTCAAACTATCGATTCCTCCAAAGAAAAACCTTGATCCTGCATAACATTGAAGATAAAACTGTCTAAGGCTGTGTTCACACAATGGACTTTTTTGAGTCAAACTCACCAAGACAATGGTTACTCTTCCCATTTTAAGTCCAGTGCGGATAGCCCAGGAAGTTTTTCTCTTGGTTACTTTTAATGAGCAGTGCATTCATTTCTGCTGGCAAACTGCTGCCCAAGAAAACTTCCCGCAATGGAAAGTCAAGTGCAGACAGTGCGAGTTGGTAATAGCCCAAGTACAACGGCATTCTGCGCACAGCGAAACTATGCACGCATGTTGGACGTTTCGCTACGGTGTGGCATGTGGTGAATATTTCCAGTCAATTTGTTCCTGTTTTGATCGTATTCATGGCAGAAATTATTACTGACACTGTTGGAAGATTAACTTGTGTTAAGAGTGCACCATTCCCAGATGATAATGAGGAAGGTAACGTTGAGTCTACCGATGAAAAAAAAGGCAGAAACACCATGCAAAGCACCCTCATAAATCACTTCATTGCTAGCTTGATTACTTCCCCTGTGGTCTCAGTCAGAAGTCCGAGTGTGGACAGAGGTCAAATCTGACTATTTTTTATTTGACCATTGGCTCGGTCAAACCCACAAGAAAAAAGGCCCTTGCTAACACAGCAAACACAAGGGATCACTGTTGTCCAGTGAAGACAGTCTTGCTATGCCTGTAATATTTGAAAGTGAGAAAAATAGCTGAAGCAAGTTAGCAAAATGGAATTTATAATTCTCATACTCACCGACTCTGGAGTAGAAACTATATGAAGCATCAAAGCTACTCATCTGTTCGCTGCAAGTATGTCCGCGAAAAACCACTTTAAGTTCATTATCCAAGGATTGCACAACAATCGGTAGAGTTCTCTCCTGGTTGCCCTGGACAGTCAGGAGGTGCGTCGTGCCCAACGGACCGACGTTTTTAAAAACAAGTCTCGGGCGGCAGCGCCCCCCAGAGCCTGCCGAGGAAAAACCTCTCAGAGCTGTTATGCTCACCACCACAGCCGAGTCAGCGGGCGCGTGGAAGTGAAACTTGCAAGTAGACCAAAGACTGGTGGCATTCAACAATCGGTTTAGTTTGCCAGGAGCCTGGGTGAACGTCTCAGAACATTCTGTGAGGAGGAAAGGGTAGAAGACATTTAGAATAAATACTAGGAAAGCAAAAGACAGGAAATCAGGCATTATTGAGTCACTGATCAAAGTTAGCTGCCTTGGTTTTCTAAAAAAAAAAACACTGCTGCTAATCTGTGGCATTTAGTAGACACAACTGACAGACCCACCTTACCTTACCTTACCTTACCTTACCTAGAATTCATTCCCAACCCCTTATAAAGTGTGTTCCTACATTTCAGCGATAAAAAGCAATCTTGTGTATTGCCATAAAAACATGCGTGAACACAACAAAATTAGGTGAGGGCTTTACCTCTTCAACCTAGCTACAAAAAAGTGCACAGTTGAATGTAATGCAAGGAGATGAGAGAACAGTCACAGCTGCAAAAAAGAGAGCTTTTTTATCAAGAAGAACAGTAAATAAGGGTGCGGTGTAACAGGAATTTGTACATGTGGTCACGACACTGCATTCAACATGGCCACACCATGCACACTACATGTGTGGGTAAATAAAACTGAATGAACAAAATCATGTTTTTTAATTGAAAATGGGGGTGGATCAAAACAATTTTGATGAAAAAATATAAAATATTAAATCAAAAATTTTGACAGGCCCACAATTCCGAATGACATAAATATGAGAAGTAAAAAAGCCCCCCCAAGTCACCTACGCTGTAAATTTACTCAAAATAATGCCACTAATTGTTTCATGCACAGCCTAAATCCCTCCTGCATGCCCCATCAAATTAGTTATGCAAGACCCATAGGCAAACTATGGACTTGAATGCAAATTAGCGCCAGGCTGTCTAGACAGTTGGCCTTTACACAAGGACATACAGTTAAGGACATGTTGGTGCTCTTGACTGCATGTGGCTCGCATAGAACTTACAGATGAACATGTACATGTACATGTGAGCTGTGCAGGGAAAACAAGCCTGTACATGTACAATGTTCATGTATTTGTACATGTACAGTGTATGGTGGACTGCAGAGGCAATGGAGGTCTAATCCTAGACAAAACAAGCAGAAATGCTGAGCAATAACGTCAGCTTATCGATTACTGATCCAGTGACTCTTGGGCAAGCTGTTGGTAGTAAATATGCTGGGTGATTTACACGTATCTGTTACAATTACTGGGACAAATAGTCATTTTATCGGCACACTCAGAATTCACCCCTGCCTCTGTGGATCATGTCGCCTCTGAGAAACATTCTTCAAAAACAGAAATTTCTACAGAAAAAAGCTGTTGAGAAAATTTCTTTTCAATTTGTTAAGTTTTTAGAAAATTGTCAGCCGATTGGAATTTCCAATGGAAGTAACTGGATTAGATCACGATTGGTCTCCATAAAATCTGATATCTTTACGTTGACTTCTTTTACAGGCACAAAACCCAGTCATGTTTTTCAGCATATCAATTCCAACTGCTGTAATGTCTGTGAAGAAAAAACAAACTAGAGTTTATCTCTGTCTTTGCACTGAACTGAGGCTTTTCTGCTTCTTAAAAGCTTTAAAGCCTTTTTGCTGAGTTTCTGTAAAAAATGTCAATTAAAGTCAATTAAAGATTTCAAACTCCATATTAAATCACTCGATGACATTATTTTGATGTCACAGTAAGGGTCACTTTACTCTCAAAGTACTTCATACCTGTTAAGTTTCAAGTAAATTTGACTTGGAATAGTAACAAAAATTACGAGTGAAAGAAATAAATAGGACAAACTAAATCATACAAACCTATTTAAATATCAACCATCATTTCATGACGTCATTTCCTGTTTACAATACAGAACGCATACAACATCTTCCCACCATGTGTCAAAACGACTGGATAATCTTCAATTATAATATGCCAAACAAAAAATTTACTATTATTTTGATGTTATGGTAATCAGAAAAAAATCTGAAAAGACTTTGCATGATAAAGGCCTTGCTAAAAGACCTCTGAGAATACCTTGGTTTGTTCAGGAAAGAATGTCAAAAAAAAGGAATAAAACACACAAAATAAAACAATTCATAACAAATGAAGGGATGATGTCATCATGATGTCATCTCCATTTTTAGCACAGAACCTTGGACGAAATCAAAGTTAAAACTTAATCGGACTTGTAGTTTCAAAGAGACTGACCTTGACAAAAGACCTAGAACATCACTTGTGACAACAAAATCAAAACTTTATCGACTTTGTGGGGAGAAATGCATTGACAAGAAAACAATCTGGGTGTCAGTTTCATAAACAAAAAAACCCCAAATCAAAAAGCAATAGACAGCATTACCGAAGTCATTGGGGTTTGGAAAAGCTGCCAAGTATGATGAATGCATTTGCTACCAGTTTTCGGAAGATTTAACAGATTTTTTTCAACAAGCAACATAACACTAGGAAGTTTTAGTTTCCAAATTACCTTTAGTATTTTCTCCCTTCCAACGCCAGAGTTTCCTCAGGGACAAGAAAATCTGGCTACACTGGTATACCCAGCAAGATATGGGACGGAGGGGTACCCCCCTTACATGTCCAATCCCTATACACACTCTACACTATTGTTACCAAACACATCCCCCCCCATGTCTGCAAAGAATTCCCGAGATTCCGATCAAACAATGAGGAACACAAGGGGGGGTGTTCTTTGTCCCGTATCTTGCTTCATATGGATAAATCTAAATGCATCCAAGCACCTGCCATGAACTTCGTAATACATCATGGACTTTAAAGCTTTTAGTTTTACTGGCAACTTATTTTTTTCTTCCAGGATACCTTCTGATATATTTAGGCCAAACTGCAACCTCACAATTCCACGGCGGCCTCCCTGGTTGATTTTATACACCTGTGCTCTACTTCAACAGTCTATGGGAAGAAAGGCAGCCATACCAGAATTCTGACTTCCAGAAACTCATAGTGGCTACTTTTTGGCTGCACACTGCTGCCCCGGAGATAGAAACATAGGACACTTTCATCTGGACAAACTGCAAATAGAATCTCTACGACCGAAAATAGAGTACTGATATTCTCCCCCATCGAAAATCTAGAAACCAGGTGAATACACCTTACCGTGTATGTGTGTATGTGGGGAGGAACCAATCCAAACGGATACATGCATGCTAGGTAGGTGGAAAAACCAGGAAAGGGACTGCACAGCAGAGGGTGGAAAGAAAAGACTGAGTCTACTGTCTAGACAGTAACCTCTGAACGAGGTCAGACAGCCAAAGGACCCAATAATTCTTTGTTGGTCATGTCACTGTGGTCACATGCCATCTATTGTTCAAGTCACAGGCCTAGTGATCTCTGTTCCCAAATACAGCACAGCTGTTTGTTCTGAATGTTTTGTGCTGCCACAAGCAGAGGGATTATCTGTTAAAAAAGTGAAGTGGGGAAAGGGGGAGAAAAATTCTCCTTTAAAAAAAACGGCTTTTTCCTTCCCTCCCAATCTATGTTCTCTTATTCTATTCAAAATGGGCTGTAATTTCGACTCTCCCTCATGTAGTGGGAACAACATGGTGAATTTATGATACCAAAATACTGATGAGGCCTCCAGAAAGATGTTTCTGGCAAAATAGAACGCAAAAAAGGAAGAAGAGGTACGTGTACACAGAGGCGCATTAGTTAAAAGTGTGCTTGTAATTCTGCACCTTTTCCAAAAAACAAAGTTAAAATATAAAAACTTGCATACCAATGTAACACCAGGTATTGCAAATATCATGTCTTTTTTGGGGGGGGTACACAGAGGCAAGCATCATTCTGCCTTTCTTTGGTCAATGAACATGTACCTTGCTTTCAAGAAAAATTACGGCATTACCATCCCGGGTTAGAAAACTACAAAGCTGAAATACGTACATGACAAACGGCGTGGTTCCATTGGACTTTTTCTTCTGTGAGCATGCAGAAACTTACCGCGACATTCGTTTGTGTCAATCTACCACGCACTCCCACGTGGACTTTTCTTACCACGGTAGAATGTTTATTCGCTGTGTTAGGCCTAATAAGACCAGCTGATTACATTGCCTGCACTGTACAAAACATGCCAAAATCTGCAAAATTTGACCAAATTATTGACAAAATCGCACGAATTCGGCCAAATCTGCCACAAACAAGATGAATTCTTAGATGAATTCTAGACAATGTGTGCACATGTATAGCTTTATTCGGGCATGCTCCACTGTGTGTGTACGGCATGCTGCTGTACTGTATGCACGAAGCTGGAGACTGGGAACCACACAACCATTTTCGCATGCCCACTATCCATCTCTGTGTACCAGTGGTCTGGTTCGTAGGTTCAGTGTGATTGCAGTCAATCTACATTGTACAGGAACTGTTCCCAATGGACTTTTTTGCGCCCCTGCTAACTTACCGCGGCTGCACGGAAATCTTCTGTGACCCGTTTTGGCCTGTTTTACATCATAGGCACCGCAATATGTACAGTATTTGAATGGGGGGGGGTTCACAGCAGGGAAATATGCAATTCAATTCAATTTGCCAACTGGGAGGGTGCACGGAGAGTGAAGAGACTGGCTATGACACAATACCTGGGGACTGTTAAAAGAACACAGGACAATGCGATATGTAGCACTGGACGACATCTTTCACAACTTCTTCCTTTGCTGATATCGGTTTGTAAACAACAAGAAATTAGGATGTGTCTACCCCCCATCTATCCCCATATCAAATTTAGAACACTGAACTACATAACCAGTATATCTGCAATGTCTACATTTGCTGAATTTGGTGAGCGAACAATTCAAATTAATAACCATCATAAAACAGCCTACACAAAAGCATTGGGAAATTTAAATTTTTAGTGGAGATCAAAAGATACCTATGTCTCGTTTAAAGAAACTTCCATGCCACCAGAATTTCCTTGATGAGTTTTGCCACCATAACAATCAAGACCTTGTTTCTTCCAAGCATTACCTTGTACTCTGTATCCCTAAAGTCAAAGTGAACTAATGATCTCTTGAGCTCTAAATAGTTTTCCCGATGCCAACCATTGAGTTTCGTTCTACAACCTTTTTTTTT